CAAATGAAAGCTTTTGATGAGTGTAACGTCGAGATGAGCTTATATTTTTAAAAACGTCAATATTTAAGAAAGTACAGTGCAATTTAACAAAAGTCATTATTTAATAAACCAAAATTTTATTTATTTATAGTTCACAAATCACGGCAGTCACATTGTGACTGCAAGGTTGCTAGTTAGATATAAAATAAAATTTTTTTTTAAATTGCAGTAACGGAGAGCCAAGGCCAGGGAGTGGTTACCGCACCAATTTCCGCTAAACAAACGTCACAATTTTCGGTTTCACAACAATCATTGACAAGAATGGGATGGAACACAGATTTGATAAAAGCCAAACAAGACGAGGTAGTTATATTATTTAAATAAATAAATTAGCGATGCATGATATATTTCTTCGCAATGTAATTAAACTTCTTCTACATTGTATGTAGTGAAAGATTAATTATAAGCAGCGTAATATTTAAATTTACTACTTGACTATCTTGAGTGTATCGTGTGTGCTATACTTGTGTGGTAGATCCAAAAAAACATGAGCAACATGGTCGGTGACATGATTCAGTGTTCGCTGGAGCAAGATCACATGGAGGGCGTTGACGAGCACGAATGGGTACGTACTCGCTTCATGCATTCTTCATGTCTGCTAGGTTTTTAAATGCATCCGTATATTTATATCTATATGACACCACTCTACTTTATTTAGAAAAAATTTTACCTTTATTTAATAATTGATTAATTTATTAAAATCAATAAAATATCTATTTATTTTTTAGGACGATTAAAGCAATCTTACAAATTCAACCGCTTCAAGATTATTTTGAATATGCAAATAAGCTGCGATCGTGTGCAAGACACAGCCATTTGGCTCACCCGAGCTAAGCCATAACTAAACCTTTATTTCACTTACAATATTATTTTTTTTTTTGTTATTTATATTTTAAAATTTAATACTTACAGAGATATTAAATACTCCGCCATCGTTTGGCTCTATTGAGTCCAAGTATTCAATTACGAGCCTATCCATGACCGTAATTATAATTATAAATTAATAATTAATGCACTAACATTGATTTTGTGCTATTTAATATTTTATAAATTATGTTTGGCATTACGTATATATTTATTTTAAATGCAATTAGAGCTCGTGCTACTCATTGTAAATTTTGTCTTTAAAAAAGAAAATCAATTCCTTGAAAATAATTGCGAGCTCGACAATACTATTTACTCAATTAATTATTATTATTATTATTATTATTATTAATATTGGGCGTTTTTAAATAGTAACGCGTGATAGTTCTAGTCTCGAATGATTTTTAAAAAATACTTTTATTAATTATTATTATTATTATTGATTATTATTTTAAAAAGACATTTAAGTCTACCGTACGTAATATTGATGCTAAAATGTTAGTATTATAATTATATTATAACAATTGTAGATTTATAGAGGCGAGTAGGCGATTTACTTTTGCGCAATAATATTTCGCCAAAGTAGTCGTATTTTTTCTTCTTCATCTTCGACTTTATTATCTAATCTTGTCTTAAAAAAAAAAAAAATAAAATAAAAACCAAATAAAAAAAAATGATACTAAAATTTTTATACTTTTTGACAAATTTTTTAATTAGCAAAGTAACAAAAATAAAAAAAATATAACGGAAAATTCAAGTAAATATTATTGATAAATAATAAATACTCAATTGATAAGAGATTTTGTTTTTAAATAATTAAACAGAAGAATAAGTAAAAGATATTCTTTGAACCGTACGCACACGAGTCATAATATGAAATAAATTATAATATTATTATTATTGATATTAAATTTATTAATATTGATTAATTAATTAATTAATTAATTACTATGATTATTAAATAAGATAGTGATGATGATGATGATGATGATGATATGCAATATTTTACACTACTGTAATTAATTATTCCGTGATTTTATTTGTTTTGATGATAAATAATTTAAAGACAAAAGAACCATATCGATTTGAGTCTTTAATAAATGGATTGATAAAGAGACTGTCACTTAAACTTTGATAACGAATAAAATAATAACAAAAAACATGTCGAGGAATTTTTTGTGTCTTGAGACATAAATTGGCTGGGAAATGAAAATTTTTTTCTAAATAACGATAATAATAATAATATAACTAATAGATACCGAAAAATTATTTTAAATATAACCCGTTTAAACTTTTTCAAGTTTTTTATCTATTTTACACTGCCAATAATAATAATTATTTTTGCGATTGTAATTGCAATACAATTTTTCTATGGTATATATTTTTTTAGTATGAATGCATCATTTGGATACTTAAATGAAAAAAAAATAATTAATTGAATTTTTAATGATCGATTGTCATTTTTATTGTGAACATGTTGAGAGTAATGTAATTTAAATCTGGTGCTACAATCTCCTGTACATGCTTCGATTTCACTTAATATGTAGACAATAATGATAATAATTATGAATTATGGATGTCTAATGTTAACTGTTATCAAGCATTAATGTAACACCTGCTCCATTAACCAACGAGGTGCCAAAAAAAAAAAAAATTTTAGACAATTTTTGATTTTTATAAAACAACTATTTGTAAGCGGCGTTAATAAAATTTTAAACAGAGGCCTCGGTCATTCCAAGAGCATTCCAAGAGCGTAACAAGTAGAATAATAAATTTAAGTTTAAGAGTAAAACTGTAATACTCGTTTAATAGTTTTATTATTTTATATTTTTGTAATTGATTTTAAAACATTGATTTATTATTTCAGTACAGTGACTTGCTCAAGCTCAAGTAGTACTTTTTTCTGTAAAATTATTTATAATTTATTATTATTGTGTTGTGTTTTAATTGATGTATAACTGTCAGCGTGTGGACCCGAATACTTTTCGACCAAATAATTAACGGGTCGTAGCCTAAAAGTACCTCGAAGCTCAACATTTAGTGTTGATACTGGTAATTTGCCATGTAGTTTTTTTGTCTCAGTAGTGACGTCTCTTTGTATCTACTTTATATCTTACATGTATTTCATCAATAAGATATTTCTACCAAATAATTTTATAAATTTATTTCTTCCCTTATCCACTTTTATATTTTTTTTTTTTATTATAAAAAATTTTATTTTATTATTTATTCATTTAGTTTTAATGCTAAGGCGTTAAGCTGAATGGCAAATTTTATATACATAATGTTCAAATAAGTACAGTAAATTTTGGAGTATTACTAAAATATATAAAACAGATTGCATGTTAAAAAAAAAAAAAGAAATGTACATGATATTATTATTTACATCATGTTATTATATTATTTTCCATCATACTAATTTCTAACCATTCATTACTTAATAGAAAATCAAATAATTTAATTCAGAATCTTCTTCTATAAATAATTTACGTAGAAACTTCGGTTCACCCGTCGTTATTAATTTTAAAAATAAACAAGCCAAAAATAAACATTTTGAAGGAATGTTTAAAAAATTTTTATTTGAAATTTAATTAGCATATTCATAGTTGCAGTAATTTGAATTAATCTAATAAAATAAAAATATATATAATATATTTTTGTAATTATCTAGATCCACCAACACGATCTCGGGGTATAAGCCGCAGTTCTGTTCCATGTTTCAGGAATACATTACCTGAAAAAAGTATTTTTAATAATAAATCAGAAAAATTTTTCAATAAATTAATAATAATTAGTTTAATTAAAATTTACCAGCAGTTTGTTGAGGATTTATACCAACACCATCATCAGTAATAATAGCAGAAGTTGCAGGCGTGACTCGAAATTCTTCAGCAGCGAATTTCAACACCGCTGTAAAAGGAGTATTTTCTGGTACACTTAGCCTGATTAAAAAAAGATACCAAAATTATATTACAAAGTAAAAAATTTATTTACAAAAAAAAAAAAAAAAAAACTTGACATTCAATTAAAAAATCAATGAACTAATTTATAATTAATACTATCTAATGTAAACAATCTCTTTCAACTTCATCCCAAATTGATCCGTCAACTAATGCTTTAGCAGACTGTAAACGATCTGCGACAACTCGATTAACATCCTCCGAAACACTTAATAACTTCCGAATTACTTTAACTAAATGAAAGTAACTAAAAGAATTATCAGACTTCCACGCGCCGCCGTCCCAGCTCATATTTCGCCCAAAGTAAAAAATAGCGTCCATAAAATTGTGATTAAAATCACAATCCTCTAGAAGCTTCCCCATCAGCTTTCTTTCAACATCAACAAGCGCCAAGCAAACAGGAACATCATAATCATGAGCGTACTTGCTCAAATTACTCCAAATTAATTTCTTCGCTGGACTGTCGGCACTCAGGGAATCAAAAGTGCTCAAGACTTTTTTTATATGCCCATCGACGATCATCAGCTGGATCAACTGGTCAACTTGCTCGTGTTTTCCACAAGAGACCTCGTGGTCCCAAGCTATTGTTCGCGCCTCGTCTTCGATTGTCTCTGTAGGCAGCCCGATCTCCACCAGAGAAGTCAGCAGGACATTAGCAGCCAGCGTGTCTGTTAACAGACTACTGAAAAATTTATTCAGTCGATCGTGACCGCAATGCTGGACATACAAGTGCAGTAACTTATCAATTACATCCCGTGGGATTTTTTTATCCTTCAGAAATACTTCTAGTAAACGATCGCTCGCTAATTGCAACTCGGTGCACGTGTACAACCGGGTCCGGTTAATAGAATTCCAGTAACCGTGTAAATTACTTTCAAATTCTTTTAATTTGTTATCATCCTTTGCTCTAATCACCACAGCCTCTACAAACAATGAAACGTTAAATGCTGTTGTTATATTTTCAAGTGTTATTTTTTGGTTTTGGTTTTCTAGCAAAGACAAATATGCATCGAATGTTTTCAATATTTCTTCAAAATCTCCAGCCATTTTTAGTTCATTTATTTTTTATTTTATTTGCAAGTCTCCCTTCATCTTCTGGCAATCAATATTGGACTCATCTGTTCAAAAAAATAAATAAATAAGTAAAAAAAATTGTGAGTTTTTTTTTATTGAAGCCAGAAGATTCTAGGATTTAATTTAATGAAACTGAAAATAGAAAACGTCTGAAATTTCTTTTATGATACTGAAATTAATGACATTAAAATTAGCAGTCACTTGATTATTTTTTAGCAAATAAATATGTTCAAAAAAATTATTTTTCAAAAATTGCATTTTAAATTTCTACATGTCAATTTTTTTTGCTATAATTTATTTATTGAAAAAATTCTTGAAATTATCAAATATCTGCTAAATTAATTTTCATCTAAAATTAAGAAACATCTGATAATTTTTAGAAACTTTTTAATAAATAAATTATAAGAAAAATTAATTCAAAAAATTCCATCTTTACAAGGTCTAAAAAAATTATAAATGCAATTTTTTAAAAATAATTATTTAGACCTAATTTTAATAATGACATTAAAGTTAGTAATTACTTGACCATTTTTTAATAAACGAATTTGCTCCAAAAAATTATTTTTAAAAAATTGCATCCTTAAATTTTTTTAATTTCTACTTCAATTTTTTTTTAAATAATTCATTTGACAAAATTATTAAATATTTGCTAAATTAATTTTCATATTTTAAATTATTCTAGTAAATTAATATAAAAATTGTTGATAAATTTTGAAACTTGTTTTCAGAGGTCTGCTACTTTCTGCATCATCGTAGTGTTTTATTTAATAAAAAAAATCTAAATGTTTACTTACACTTTGAACGGGAGTTTTGGATCAGACGTCAAGGTTATTTTGAATGTTACTTTAGATCTATAAAAAAAGTAAATAAAAAATATTTATATAAATTATATTGTTTAAAAAAAAAACATATGGCAATAACAAGTGTTCAACAAGGTTAACTTTAAACAAATTGTTTATATTCATAAATTTTATATTAATCATTGAATTGATAAATTTAATTAATTACTTTAAATAATTATCAAAATTTTAAGAAAACATAAATAAAAAATTACTTACGTCATTATTGTAAATTTATTTATTTATTGAAAGTGATAAATATCGAATCTCAAGTAACCTTAGTCTGACAGGTGACTTTTCCCTTTTTTGTGTCCTACGTGTAAAAGTCGGTAAAATAAATGTCTATTTTGTCTATCCCACAGGACAAATTAATTTTTTTAATTAAGTAAAGCACATAATAAATAATTGTACAATTATTTTATTCCAATAATATTAGTAAGTAATTGATAAATAATTAAAATAAAATATTTTATAAATACAACCCACCAGACATAATGACATTTTCTATTGTCTAAAGCCTTGTTGTTTTTTATTTTAATACATAATTATTGTAATTTTTATTATTACTCCTCGTGTGCTTAGTGATCACGGTGATCGATGACACAAATGTCTAATTATTTATCATTATTGTAAACGACGCAATTAATCGTACCCTGTTTGTTTATTTATTTTTTTTATTTAGAGGGACAAGGTATTTTATTTATTGTTCTAAGATACTGAAGTTAACTGACAGCTGTCAATTTTTTTTTTAAATTTTAGACCAAGTAAAATTATAAAAAAAAATGGTTCTAAAAATTTCCACTATTGATTTTTTTTAATTTTCACATGTGGAATTTTAAAAAAATTTTTTTCACAACAATTTTATATGAAAATTAATTTAGCAGGTATATAATAATTTTTTTAACAATTAAATTAATGAGAGTTAATCTAGCAAATATTTAATAATTTTTTTAACAGATAAATTATTGCAATAAAAAGAAAAGAAAAAAATTGACATTTAGAAATTTAAAAAAATAAAAAATGCAATTTTTTTAAAATAATTTTTCAAAATAAAATTTATTTGTTAATTAAAATTAAAAAATTATCAAGTTACTGTTAACTTGAATGTCATTAATTTAATTGTTATAAAATTCTAAAAAAATTTCTAATGTCTGTCAACTTCAGTGTCATTATTGTTCTTCATAAATTTTTTTTTTAGATAATATTTTTTACTGGATCCAGAGCGGATTTTCAACTAGGCAACTACGTGACCTAATAATTACACCTATTTTTTCATCAAATTTTAATTTCAATTGATTAATTTTAAAAAATGAAATTACTTCAATATTTCTATGGTAATATATTAATATTTTAGGTCCGCGACGACCCGCGTCGTTTTTTTTAGCAATTTTCCACAAAATTTTTCTACACTGAAAGAAGTAGACATGTAACAATTATTAAACTTTGAATAAAAAAAAATCAAGTAGAAGTATTAATAAGTCAAAATTAAAAAAAACTTCAAGTAATTATTTTTTTTTTCATTTCATTTTTCTTTACAACATGTAAAATATTTAATAACAGAAATTCGTCAGATGTCTGCTGCTTTCAGTACCACGATTATTTTATTTTCTACAACAATTATCAGTGCTAGTTTTACTTTGATTTATCGCAAAAAATTTTTGTATACAATTGTAATTTATCTTAATTAGTGAGCATACATATATGTATATATATAATAGTTGATAATAAAACAATAAATTATAAAAAGAAAAATTTCATTGTCTACCGGATTAGAAATCACGTCCAGTTTATTTAATCTTTCACTTATATATTTATATGTGTATATAAATATATAAATAATGATAGAAAGTAGCTGAGCCGTATGTGAAGAAATGATCAGATGCAGCTACTAAATTTTTTTTTTTTTATTTAACAAAAAAATAATTTTCAAAAATTTAAAACGAGAATGGAGTTAATGAAACATGAAGAATTAATGACAAGTATATTTATTTTATTAATATTTATAAAATGAAATGAATTCACAATGAATTAAAAAAAAAACTTGAATAATTTGTTTAGGTGTTTTTTTATTTTTGTAAAAAAAAAAATTTTTTTTCGTTTATTTAATGTACATACATGAGGGAGAGATAAGAGCAATTGGGAGGACGTAGGCAGGGCAAGTGAATAATTGTGAATTGTCGATATTATAGTGCATTTGTTGTTTAATGTTTTTGTTTATGAATAAATTTAAAATGGCATTTTAATGTCCATTGCGTTATTATCTGTTGTGCATTTTGTTTTTACAACAATGTCATCGAGTTTACTTTTGATGATAAGTTAAAATTAATAATTTATATTTAACAAATCAAAGATTGACAAAAAATGATTCTATGGCAATGACTTTCGATGACATGACAACAAAAAAAAAATATATATATATATGTATGAGTATATATATATTTATATATAATGAAAAAATAAAGAGATATAATAATGATAATAATAATAATATAATGAATGATACTTAATAAATACAATCTCGATTTGACGAGAATAAAGTTTAACTTTGTTATTAGTTAATCATTTTTTTTTTTTTTAGCATTCTCACTCGCATTCGCTGTCTGTTTCAACGTTTATTTTTCAGAGTTTAGTTGAATCGTCTTTTTTCATAATTGTTTTGTTAATTTACGTGATAATTAAGTTTAATGATATTGGTGATTACTGCTGGTGTAAAAAAAGATAAAAAAAAAGATTGACAATGATTGGAAGACGAGACCGGAGATATTTTGCTATTAAATTATTTAAATTAATTAAACTCGAGGCTAAAAAATTAATTAATAAATATAATAATTAATAATTGTTAATTTAAATTAAATTTTCTAGTAATTTTTTTCATTCTTCACAACTTAATTTGAGTGAAACTTGTGAATTCACACGTACATATTTTTTATTAATTTTTTTTTATACACACAGCCTCTCGTGCATTCTCTGTCATTTAAATTTACTCATCAGTGGTTGGATGGAATTTTTCAGTTTGCGAGAATTTACAGATTTAGCGTGCCAAGTTTATATTACATAGTCATCTTAAGAATTAAGAAATCCCTCTCTTCTTATTTTTTATTCTTTTTTTTTTCCAAGTCGTTCCAAGTATTCAAAAAATTTTTTTTTTATGTATAAAGAATACTAAAGACCTTGATAGATAAACTTAATGTAAATTAAATGAATGAAAAAAAGTAAACTGGGCGTGCGTAGTCAAAATGACCGATAATAATGGGGGCCATCGAGTTTAATGTATATTTTGGTGCGTGGGTGATCACAATACTCAAAGCAAGGACAAAATCACTCATGACGTAAATCTACTCACATTCTCATTAAAAATTTAGTACTTTAGCAAAACATTACTACGCCGTAATAAAAAGATACAAGTGATAATTTATTAAATTAATATTAATTTTAAATAAATTTTCATTTCATAATTCGCAGCTTGATTAATAAATGTAAACGTCAATCAAGCTGTGGATAAATATTAAACATAAAAACTGATGAATTAAACAGACAAAATAATTAACAATAATTCTACAATTAACGAGAATTAATTCAATAAAAGACAAATACAAATTTATATAATAATTAATTAGCATTTTTTAAAAAATAACACTAATGCTTATTAAATTTTAGATTCATACGGATAATTCCTTATTGAATAATAGATATACAAAAATTAATAATAAATGTTGATACTGATCATTAAGATTTACAATTTTTACGCCCTCCCACGCGGAAAGAACAAGATGACACTGGTTAACAAGATAAAAATTTTGTTTTGTTTAAGAAATTTTTTATGAAAATGTTTTTTTCTGAAATAATAATAATAATAATAATTATTATTATTATAAATAACAGAAAAATTTTTCTGTTATACACTCAGTATAATCTGAGATGATATCCAGTGTAATCTTGTTCTTTCCTAGCACGAATTACCGAAAATTAAATTGTAATTTATTTTAAAAATCCAAACTTTTAATTGAAAATCAAAATAAATAACTTGGAACTTGTTTGGTTTATTAAACAACCAGAAAATCTTCTTCATACAGAGAATTAGCGACAGCGCAAGCTCCGGAGGTAAAATTCTCGTCTTCATTATTATGAAAATCATTGCTCGATCGTTTTATTCTTTTTTTAATTATCTTTTTATTTAATATATATTTAATTATTATTATTATTAATATTAATATCCGAAGTTGGTTAATGACAATGGGTCTTTAGTGTCATGTTGAACAAGGGCCGGAGTCGCGAGGTGCTTCCGTTGTAAGATCAGTAAAGTGTTGCGTTGTTTTAGTTATCATTATTATATTGTTTACTTAAACTTTTATTAGTCATATTAATATTAATATTATTATTGTTGTTGTTTGTTGTTGTTGTTGTTGTTGTTGTTGTTTTGATTAATGACAGTAGGGACGGGAGTAGGTGGAGAGTGAATGATGGTGTTGTGTTACTGGGTTGATAATAAGAGAGGTTTGAGGTCCTAAAAACTCCGCGTCAATAAATTACGCTCCCGGAAATCTCATTCACTTCTTTTTGTTTTTATTATTGGGACCTCGCGGCGGCGTAACCGGTCGGCCAGAGTTGAGGCCACCATACGCGAATTTCCTCTTGTCTGCTGGTTTTAAGATTTGAAAACTGCACATCAGCGTATCGTCGACCGACATCATGGCACCGGCGTTGTCAAACTCACCGCAGTAGTTTGGCGCTGAGAATAACGTCACCAGTTGTCGTTTTGCAAAGAATTCATAACCATCTTCGACGACCTAGTAGATTATAAACAAACCAAAACAAAATATTTTATTGAGAAATTCAAGAATTTCACGGTCACATTGCGAACGTGCCGGAACTTATTTTAATTGAGCTCTTGATTGATTGAATAGTCCAATCATTAATAGTCACTATTTTTATATTATTCTTAATATACTTTTTTTTTCAGATGAATAATAATCCAATTAAAAATTAAGTGTCTATCAAGATTGGAATAATCTTATATTATAATAAATTTGATGGATAAAAAATTATCTTTAAAATCAATCGTTATTTCTATAATTATTAACTATGTTAAATTTAACAGGATTAATAAATTAGGTAATTATTTACAAGTGAGGTCAACCCTATTTTTGGCCATATCTAGGTGAAAAATTAACATTTTTAATTTTTTTTTTTATTTTACTTGTTTTAATGGCGTATTTATGATAAAAAATGTTGTGCAAAGAAAAAATTGTGATGATCAACTTTTTTTTCGTTCATTTTATAATCTGGATTTTTCTAGCTACTATCTAAAATTTTTCTTCACCATAGATATCACTGAGGATAATCTAGGATGATATCCAGTGTCATCTTGTTCTTTCCGTGTATTTAAAAAAAAAATGAGTGTATTAATAAAATCAAATAAAAATTTCTTCAAAAAAAAATAAAAATTAAAATGGACCCCACTTGTAAATATTTACTATAAAATAAATTATCCACCAAATAAATATCTAAAACAATTACGATAAATATTATCGAGTTTACCTGATGCGCACGGCATATGAGGTCAAAGTCATGCTTGTGTAGAAATTTGGCAACGACCTCGGCACCGAATGTAAACGATACACCACGGTCATTTTCACCCCAACCCATTGTGTCCTTGTCGGGATCAGACCAAAGAAGATCACAGAGTAATCCTTGATCAGGAACATCAGTCGGTCGCATAATACGTCTTATTTGCTCCATATTCTGTAGATCAGGACTGAGTCCACCGTGACAGCAGAATATTTTCTCGTCAACGATTGCTGCCACGGGTAGACAGTTAAAGCAGTCCGTGAATGTCTTCCATAGTTTAATATTGTAACGACGTTTGCCTATTCAGTACCATAAAACCCAATAATTAAATCAATAATTCGAACAGCATACATGTAATATTAATGTCAAAGTAACTTACACTCATCGTAAAAACCGTATATCCTGTTGATGGATGCACACTCGTGATTTCCTCGTAACAGGAAAAAGTTCTCGGGATACTTGATCTTGTACGCAAGAAGAAGGCATATTGTTTCCAACGATTGCTTCCCCCTGTCGACGTAGTCGCCTAGGAAGAGGTAGTTACTTTCCGGTGGGAACCCACCGTATTCAAAAAGCCGCAATAAGTCGTAGTACTGACCGTGAATGTCACCTGATTAGCATAAAAAAAAAATTTAATAAAAACATCTCAATGGTATACTTAACTCAACATGTGACTCATGTTTTTTTCATTATTATCTCAGCAGTAGGAATTAATGTGTAAATGTACCAACTAGTCGCAATTATTACGAGTATGCTAATGTCGCCGATAATTGACATCAATAATTACATCTAATGTTACTTGTTTTCATTTTTTTATCCACTCTGATGATTATGTAAGGCCTTAAAGGCTCGTGTTTACAAAAATAGTAAAAATAAAAAAAATATAAATATACACAAGATGCATATACATAATAATAAACACGCGTTCTCTTGGCTCAAGTACTAAAATACACACCGCATATTTTCAACGGTGCCTCCAGCTCGAGTAGTATCGGTTGGGATAGAAATATTTCACGTGACTTGAGACACAGGCCACGGATCTCACCCTCCGTTAGCTGGACATTTTTCCCAGGTCTTGATCCTCGTACTGTAAACAAATTAATCATACAATTATAAATATCAATCGATATAAATAAACCTGTTGGATGATAATAAAAGTAACGTGGTCTATTGCTATTATTATAATCTATATTATTAAGAGAATAAGATAAATTTTGTGTCCAGGATAATTTTAAAATAAAGTCAGTTTTGTTTAGTGAAATTTAGTCATTACAAAGGTCTTGATTTGAATTTGTGCCTTTTTAAGGTTTCATATTATTTTCACCGATAGTCAATTTATGATAATATGTACTTAGGTTGCATTCGAAAATTCTTTATCTCTAGATACAAAATTAAGAAATGACCTTGTATCTTGAAAAATATTGACATTTTTAAAGATATAAGCTCATCCCGATGTTACACTCATCAAGACCTTTCATTTGAGTACCTACATCAATTTTTCATATATTTATATGTTACATATATGTATATACGAAAAATATATCAAAAATGCATGTAGGTATTCAAATGAAAGCTCTTGATGAGTGTAACATCAGGATGAGCTTGTATTTTTAAAAATATCAATAGTTGAGAAAGTACAGTGCAATTCAACAAATATCTTGTAAACTATTGACATTTTTAAAGATATAAGCTCACCCCGAGATTACACTCATCAAGACCTTTCATTTGAGTACCTACATCAATTTTTCATATATTTTATATATTTATATTATATATTACATA